AACTCTACTTTAAACCTAAGAAACAGAACTGTGTCATTATTATTAGCTATACTATTATCTCCAGCACCGTAAGATAGACTCAGTCAGTGTCTGGTGTCTGGTCATTTGTTACAGCAGCCATAGGAAACTCATACAGTAGTACTTTACCATTTTCCATTGTACTCTATATGGTATCACACAGACACACAGACAAAATTCATATTTTGTGGAAATGAATAAGATACATAGGATTTGTCACTTTGATATTTACCTGGTATGAAATTCAATCTGATGTGTTCAGTAGTAATAGTTCTGAAAAAAATGAGACTTATTTATGAATATATAGAATAATATGAAACTGTTACTTGGGACTTGGAGCTGCAACAGAGAAAAATTACTTTACCAATAAATCAATGGGCTTGATGAGTCTATTAATTTTGCCATCAGCCCCATTGTCTTTCTGTTCCTCAGCAATCTACTGGCAATACCCTGTTATTGACGATGGGTCGACTCCTTTCTTCAGGAGCTACTGCCTTAGCCCCTGGGCTCTTCCATCTTCTATAGCTCAATGTGCAAAAATTGTGCAACCTGTCTAGGACTCTACTAGAAAGAGAGTTACCTGGCTGAGCCATGCAGGGGAAATACTTTCATTAGCTCCTTCTCAGCATAATCATTTAAATATATCCAGTACATTTTAGCTTATGAATTCTATGATTTCATTTGATCTTCACAATAACTTGGTGAAGGAGGTATCATGACCTTCATTTTCTGATAGAGAAAACTAGGGTAAGGAATGTTTCCAGATAGTACATGACAAAAAGAAGATTTGCACTCAAATTTAAGTTTTTTTGTTGAGATTTTAAAATAAATGCAAGTTTGCTATATCAACAGTTTTTACCATTTTACCTCAGTATCACGAATCCAAATCCATGTTTTGAAGGCACAATTTAATGGTAAAATAACTTGCACATTTATAAAGTGATGTGGATGTGCAGAAAGTCTGAAACGTTTGTATGAGGAAGCTCATCCAAAATAAGGAGGTAGGGGCTAAAAAATAATAGAAGGAAGATCAGTGGAGGAGACCAAGGGGATTGAGGGGAAGGGGTGGGGATCGTGTAGGAAGAGGTCATGGAATAAATCTGACACAGCTTTCCTCATACATATATAAATATACCACGGTGAATCTCACCATCATGTACACCTACCAAGACACAAACTGAAAACAAAACAAAACAAAACTTATAGGTAAATAGCAGAAAGAAAGGTAGATTAGAAGAAAGGGGGGAGTACTGGGGAATAAATTAGAACAAATTATATTCCATGCTTGTATAGGGATGTCAAAATAAATCCTTTTGACATATATAACTGAAAAGAACCAATGAGAAATCACCCAAATATTATTGCTCAAAACAAATCAGTGTGACTGTATGGATGCATTTCCTTCCAGATGTTTTTCTGTGCATTTATACAAGCACATGTTTTTTTGGACATTTTTCATTTAGGGTTTTGTGTCTCATCAAGTTTTGATTATTTGAAGAGAAGTGGGATGACTTTCTAACTTTGCTGTAGTTAAAGTTTTACTGTATTGCTTTTCAGTGACCTATTTTTCCTGGGTATTTAAATATGAATTTAAAAATCTACTCACCCTTCTTGAGTATACTATTTTTTTTCTGGGTTAGGACCAGGATGCTCAAAATGTGGTCTGAAGACCAACAACACCAACAACACTTGGGAGCCCTTATAACTGCAAATTGTCTACCGAGTCAGGCTTTTCCGGGCAAGGTCAGGAATCCCTGTTTTAATAAGCTCTCCAGATGATTTTAACACATGCAGAAAGTTTGGACTGAAGTACTTGCCTTTCCATGTGGGTGGATGAAGCAAAAGCAAATCTGCCGTAGGTTAAAGACAAACAGAATAATTGTCATCCTTGGAAGAAAAGAACAGGAGATGCTTGACTAGTGAGATTTCCCACATCCGCTTGCCTCCAGCATCTACTACCCATTCATCTGTTGGGTGAGGGGCTAGCTATAGCCCTGGCTAAAGTCCTGTGTACTCACCTGCAAATGCAATAAGTAGTTAGCTTTGCTTATTATCATTCAATCAAGTTTCCTATGCAAACACTTCTGCTTAAGCCAACTAACAATCCTTTTATCAAAATCAGAATAGGATAAAAAATAGGCAGATTTTAAGTTCAGTTCTGATATCCTTCCTAAAAACTCATCTATCTTGTTAGATCAAATGGAGTAGAAAAGAAAGACATTTTACAGACCCTGTCCTCCTGGTGATTCACACTCTTATTGGGAAATAAAAATTTCAAAGATAAAACTCAATAAACAGTCAAGTCCTAAGTCAACTATATTCAAGTGTCATTGCCGATCCATGAAATAAGCAATGAGTGCTCTGGATTATGCAGAAAGAGGCACATTGACCAGGGAGACTCTCCTTAAGAAGAAGGAATTTGAGTAGGACCTAAATAACAAATATCAGATTGCTAATAATAATAATGCCCCAAATGCTACCTATTAGTTTGCCGTGGGTGGGATCCCTAGGTTAAGCAACTGATGTGGACTATTTCTCCTGTCCCTCCTAATGCCACTATAGCATATTTATCGTACCTCCTCGTCAGCAAAGCTAAAGGTTCAGTCATTTTAGCAACATTATGTAATTAGCATGTTGTGGAGTCAGAATTTGGACCTAACTCTGTCTACAGACTGCAGAGCCATGCTTCATACCCCTTTAGCCTTAATTGATGACTCCGAGAAGTTGTATAGACTGACAAAGAGGCTTGTAGCATGTTGTAGCGAGAGCTAGTCAAGGTCACGCAGCAGATCTGCCTGACCAGGCCACAGGATTGTTACTGGAAGGTCACAGGACCCTAGAAAGACCATCACAAAAATCCTTATATTCATAGATGATGATCTGGGATATCATAAATACTGAAGAAACATTCCACTTTTGAACATAATGAAAGTGATATTTTAAGGCTGGACTAGAATTCAAAAGACACACTTTGGTAGAGGTAGTTGAGTAGAAAAACCAATGAATAGGGCAAATGTTCAGCCAGATGATAAGGAAAAGGGCCAGAGTTGGGGCAGGAGTAAAGGAGAGTGATTGATTATTAAATATCAGAAAAGAAAGAAGAAAGGTTTTAATGGCAGGTTGGCCATAGGGGCTCAGAGGAAGGCTGAGAAGTTGAATCTGACATTCTGGATTATTTTGAAATGGACAAAATTTTTAATTATCTGGAGAGAGGTTGTCAGCAATTAATAAGGCAGTTACTTTATTTGCAGAGGTTGGGGGTTTAGTCATTCCTACTCCCCTTTATTCCCAGCCACTTACTTCTAACTGGGCTTTGAGACCCTTTTGATCTTAGAAACATTTGAGTCAGTCCCATCTGCTTCATCCTTTCTGTGTAGCTTTTGTCAAGTGCTAGTCACCTTCCCGCTGGCCTCTGGCAATCCCAACAGGGTGCTCTTTGCCTTGAGTCACTTCCCCTGAATCTATCATTTTGCTCCACAGATGTTTCTTTTTTAAAACCAACACCTAATTATGGCATCTTCCTGCTAAGAGTTTAAAAATATTTCCCCCTTGCCCTCTTATTGCAATATTTTCTTTGGTGCGGCATTCAAAACTAAAGAAAAAAATAGAATTTGTTGTCTAAATTGGACACTTAAGACACTGCACAGAGGCCTGTTAATGATTAACACTGGGACAAAAGACGGATGGGCTCTGTTGATGTGTCAAGCCACCTTCTCCTCCAGTAGCACTTTGTGCATAAGTAATACCCAAAGGGTTGGTGAGACCACCCTGCTCCAGAGGCCTGGAGATGTGCACAGCTGGACCCGCAGAGCCTGAAACACTGCCCACACATCACAGATGCTCAGTAACTGCGGAAAGGAGGGAGGGAGGAGGAATGAGGTAATCTAATAGTTCTGGAAATGCCGTAGTCTAGTGCTGTTACAGTGAAACAGAGTGGAGGTCTAAGGGGGTCTGACATCCTTGGAGAGAGGAAGCCACAGAAAGCCCAAGGAGGCAGAAAGGATTTGTAGAAGGCGATAAAGGGAGGTGGGTCTCAGCTCATTCCCCAGATTTCAAGATAGAGCAGCTCTCAGGAGGACGATTCGAGGTAGACAAAACAGTGCCACCCCTTGGGGCCAGGGAAATCGTCCTTAGCTTTGTGAGATCTTTCATACTCCCCATAAATGTCCACGTGGAGCTGTTGAGAAACATGTGCGTCTCCAGGGTTCTAGATGGTGTCACTGCAGAGAGAAACGTCCTTTCTATACCTAGAAACAGCCTCAGTGAGGAGAGGAAACTGTGTCAAGGGCATGGGAACAAAAGGGAAAATGATGGAACAGAACCTGTAATTTAGTTACATGAATGTCAGCTTTCAACACAAACGAGATGTCGTGTCATTAAAGCCCCTGAAACAAATAAAATGAACCAGGAAAATTCTTTCCTTTTGTCTGAGATAAAGGAAGATTAGAAGTCACATAAAATTTGCAAAAATTTTTATATTAACTAAGCAAAAAATTTATGTGTGTATATGTATGTGTGTGTGTGTGTGTGTGTGTGTGTGTGAGAGAGAGAGAGAGAGAGAGAGAGAGAGACACGGAGAGGACGCTCTCTGATCACTTAGTTGATAGCCCAACAGGGCAGCCAAGATGCATGACCTTTCAAAATAAAGTCCTACATGGTAAAAAGAGCATAGCTATAAATAAGTACAAATTAAATAATTTTAATGGTCAGGAGCCCCCATAAAGCAAACATCACATTTGTTTAGCAGTCGACTGATCATTTTTGTCCTTTCCCCGAATGGAAAGCCACACAGGGAACTAGCCATCTTGTTTGCTAGGTCAGAAATACTCATAAAGGTAAAACCAAGTGATGAATTTCAATTTAGAGAAAGAGAATGCTCTTCTCACCTGGAGCTGCCCCTCCCTGCTGCGTGCAAGTCGTTGTCTGGGGAGCCCTGGCCCAGCGCTGTTGTTCATGGAGGATATATTCTTTTTTTCCCCTAGCTATCTACGAGCCTTCCTGCGAAGCATACAAACACCTAGGCCAGACGTCAAATTACTACTGGATAGATCCTGATGGCAGTGGACCTCTGGGGCCTCTGAAAGTTTACTGCAACATGACAGGTAACTGTGTTATATTTATGCTTTATAAAGACGGCTCTCCTATATGTCGAGAATTAATAGTTCCATGGGTGGTTTGTGTCTTCGGTGCTGTATTCTTGCCACAATATCTAGTGAGTTAAACATGGCTGGATTTGTTAGGTAAAATGCTGACAGGTATTTCCAAAGGAATGAAGCCTCTGGATGCTGTATTTTTTTTTAATCTATCTTTGACTTGAACAATTAATAATTAACATTTAAAAAGTCAGCAAATACAGGAAAGCATCACAAAGTGAAATTGCAAAGCTGAAAGCTCCCAGAAAGAACTGACCCACGAAGCAGCCTGTCCTAGTAAGTATACAAGGGAGATTTAGCATGCCTGCTTAAATATCCTCCCTGCTCGTGTTGGTGGAAATTTCCAGACCTCTGCAGACTGCCCTGTCTTCTCCATGATTTCAGAACCAACCTTTCTGTGTACTGAGATCCCTTTCTGGCAATAGCAAAGATAACCTGAAGCTTTTGTGAAATTTATTCATAGAGAAAACCTAGTTTTTCCTTCAGTTCCATATTAAATTTCAGGGCTATGAAATGAGATTGGGGGTTGTGGTAAACTCCCAGAGCAGTGTATATGATGTACACATCTCTCAGATATGAGCAAATTTTCCATGAGACATTGGCAACATTTTATCCTCCAAAAATCCAGAAGGGTGTGAGACAGGCACTGTTTACTGTCTCCAGGAGAGGATTAGGATTTAACCAGAATTCCTGAGGCACGTGATGCTACAGGATGCTTCTGATGACTACTGCTACACAGGACTGTTTGGCACATGTCAGGAACCATCAATTCTTTAGGCAGACACCTGGATTTGTATCCTGACTCCATTAGTCTTAGATGTGTGATCTTGGGTACCTTAATTAACTATATTAAGCTTAATTAACCATATTAAACTCAGATATCTCTATCTGTAAAATGTATTAAAAGTAATACCTTCCAAGTACCAAGGCACATGCCTGTAATCCCAGCGGCTCGGGAGACTGAGGCAGGAGAATTGCAAGTTTAAAGCCAGCCTCAGAAACTTAGTGAGGCACTGAGTAACTCAATGAGATGCTGTCTCTAAATAAAATATTAAAAAGGGCTGGGGATGTGGCTCAGTGGTTAAGTGTTCCTGAGTTCAATCCCCATTACTAATAAAATTAATAATAATAATAATAATAATAATAATATTAACAACAACAACCACCACCACCTTATAGCATTATTATATGAGCAAAATAAAATAGGATACAGATGATTCCTAACACATTGTCTAATACATAGTAAACAGTATCTGGTTATAAGGTACTATTATTATTTTCAAAGGAGTCAAGAGTTAAATAATTGACCACATCGTCCTAGTAAAATTCAAATTGAGATCTGTTTGAGGTTAATAATTTAAATCAGACTATACTTCAGAATCATTTATTAAATTTGTTTTTTTTTTCTTTTTATACAAATTTCTTGGGTTCATCCCGGGAGACTTTGGTTCTGTAGGACCCCAGTGGAAATGGGATTGTGCAACTAGAATTTAAAATCCTCAGCAGGACTGGAGACAGGCTACAGGCCCCAGTGGAGAAGTTTTCAGCAGTATCAGGAAGCTAGGTGTGGTACTCAGCTTTTTGTTGCTGTGACAAATACCTGGTAAAAACAACTTGGAGGAGGCCAGGTTTATTTTGGCTCACAGTTTCAGAGGTTCTGGTCCATGGTCTATTAGCTGGGGCTATGGCTTTGGGCCTGAAGTGAGGCAGAACCTCCTTACATAAGGGTGTGGCAGAGGTCAGGGATTCTGTTCCCTGCAGCCAGGAAACAAAGAAGGAGGAAGGGGTTTAGGGATAAGAAATACCCTTCCAGAGCCTGTCCCCAGTGACCTACTTTCTCCAACTCTTTCCCACCACTTACAGTTGCTAGCACCTCCCAGGGGGCCATTCAGCCCTCAGTGGGTTAACCCACTGATGAGGGAAGAGCCCTCGAGATCCACTCTTCCCAAAACCCTGCCTCGGATCACTGCAGCACTTGGGGCCAAGACTTTAGCACGTGAGATTTTGGGGTACATTCCAGATCCAAACTGTCCTACCAGGCCTGATGCAGAAGGAGAGGGACAGCAACAGGTGCTTGTGCCCAGAGTGGAAGTCACGTGGAGAACAGGAAAATGGGAGCAGGCACCCCAAAAACTTCCTTCAATGCCACTGCGTTATCTTTGCCATCCTTCTCCATTCTTATCTACACTTTGAAAATTTGGTGTTACAATTTTCAATAGTGTACGCTATCTTACATTTCCATTATTTGCCTTTTTCCACTGTATGCTTTTTCTAACATTTTAGCTTATTCATTCTGTTTTCTTCAGGAGTTTACAAATATCCTGTCACTAACAACCTGGAGCTTTCATATATAAAGCTTCACTTACTTCTTGTTGCCCAATGATCAATAATAATATTAATAAAGCTAGATCTTGCCACTGTCCTTGGAACGTAACTGAATACCCCTAAACCAAAAATAATGTTTTCTTACTATTCTCTCCTCTAATTCATGTCCTCTATAAATTTCTGCATTCATATTTAATTTTTTAAAATTTAAGTAAGCATATGTGCTCCAGCGCGTGAAGTTTAAAGTCCAAATAAAGAACACTCCTTGCGTTCGTTCTAGCTCCAGTTTTGTAGTTTTATCAAAAAGCCATTAAATTTGTTTACATAATTTGTGCTTTATAAAGCCCTGGGATTTAGCTGATCAAACTCTATTATCCTCTATAATGGTAAAAGCTGTTCATGTCTTTTTAATCTAATATTTATAGAGAGCTTGTTACTCAAGTTCCTAAGTACTTGCACTCAGTAATATTTTTATTATTATTATGCCTCCCACAAGTTTCAGTGGTGCAGTGTGGGCGGCGGGGAAATGAGTCACCGGGATGCTACTTGGGCTGTAGCAGAAAGCACTGTAAACCTATCTACCACCCAAGTGCTTCCTTCCCTATAATGTTCATTTTCTTAGCAACTTTGCAGTAACAGCTTCATTATCTCATAGTTCCTGTGGATCAGGAGCCTGGCACAAGCAAGCTGTGTTGCTGCTCACATTTGACCAGGACTGTACAATTAGGAATTTAATTGGTTTCCTATATGGATCCCAAAGGAGAATTAGAAAAACAAAGCCATAATGTTGACAATCCTTGTGTCAAGGGCACACACAAAATGAAGGACTGGGCTACTTTGGGGAGAGCTTTCCTTTCTCTGAGCTGCAGCTTTCACCCAGTAACTGGATCTCATCTTTATCCATTGCTCCTTTATGGACCATCACTGCAGGGTAACCTATGCTCCAGACACAGTGGGAACAGCAAGGAGGATAGTACAACATTCTGCAGCTAGAATATTTGTCTTCCAGCCACCCACGATAGTCAGGTGTCCAAGCACCCTTGAAGAATCTTGACTATGGACCCTGCTCCAGAATTCACCTGGTGAGGTCATGCCTACCCAGATTATCACACATTTGATTAACTCAAAATTGACTGATGACAGACCTTGCTTACATCTGAAGCCTCTCTTCACCTTTGGCATAAAAAATAGCTTCATTCCATGAGTGACTCTCCTCCTTATGCAAGGCCCTGCCCCCCATTTGCGGGTCCTGCCCATATTCAGTAAGCAGGACTCATCTACCTGGTGGCAGCAATCTCAAAGGCCTCCTGAGAATTCTACCTATCACACCTGCCTGTGTTCCTCTGTATTAAACTCATAATTCCAGCAGTCTTCACTCTTAGGTGTCAGGAACATGTCATGGTTAGTGTGTAAAATATCAAGCTTGAATATGAGTCATATAGTTTTAACTTATTATGATAAAATAAATTTTGATAATAAAGATAAGCAAAATAAACATTGTTTACCAGCTAGAAATGAGAATTACTGACATGTTAAGAAATGTGATCTAAAGATTTTTTAAAATTTTGTACTAAGAACTAAGTATATTATTGAGGACAAACTAAATGCCAGGCATATCACACAGACTGTCTTATCCAATAACTCACAACAACCCCCTAAGGTAGGTAATGTGACTATTATTCCCATTATTTGGATAATTAAAGTAAAGCTCAGAGAAATTAAATTCCAGGTCACACATAGAGTAAGCTGTGGGGCTTGACTTCTCAGCCAGGCCTGTGTGATTCAGAGCCTGTGTGTGTGTGTCTGCAAGCTCACATATATGTGTATGGCCAGCATTCTTTAGTTGAGATTCTGTAGTATAATTTTTACATCATTTCTGAAATAAGCATTTCTTATTTTCATCTCCTCATTATCATCAAAACTTCCCTACATGGCTCTAACTCATTATCTGTGGTTTGAACAGCATTTTTGCTATAAACTATTTACTTCTTAATTGTCCAACTAATGCCTTGGGGCTTTTAATCAGAAAACACATTTCAAATGAAGTCAGTATATAAACCATTAGGTAATTGTTATTAGTTTTAATTCATAATTCAATTAGAAGTATTTTCTCTAGTGCAATTTTCTGAGTTCTTTATAAGATAACTAGTATATTCCTTAGGTACCTGGACTCATCATCCCTTAAGGTGTGAACCCAACTTTTAAAATAATTTAAATTCCACCCCTGACACCTAGTCAATTTTTCAATGTAAAGTGCTGAACACAATCTAACAAAATCTGGTTTGAGAACTTAATAGGATGGAATGGAATTGTGTTGGGTATCTTCTGTGATGTGATGTGGCCGATGGTGCCTTATTCTTCCCCCTTTTTAAAGACACCAACTAGAAATGAGGACACAGAGCTCCTTCCTTCTGTATAGGAGATTGTTCACATACAATGGGGCCCCACTGAGCTTCGGACCCCTCCCATTCCTGTGAGTCAGGAGCTGTTTCTCTGATGTGTGTGGCCTGAAGTCCGACCTTCCCAACACTGGTTTCTTGCATTTCGTTCCCTCCACCCATTTCTATTCTTTCTCATCAAAGGCTCTTCTCTGCCTTTTCTGTCTCCTAACCCACTTTACCTCC